AAGATGAAAGGAAGGTAGGAAGGAAGGAAAGAAGAGAAAAGGAAACGAAAAAGGAAAGAAAGAGAAGAAAGGAAGAAAGCAGAGAAAAAAGCAGGAAAGGAAGAAGGGAAGGAAAGAAAGAAAAATGAAAGAGATGGAAGGAAGGAAATAAAGAAAAAGAAAAGAGATAAGGAAGTAAGGATAAAAGGAAGAAAAAAAAGAAAGAGAAAGGGAAGAAAGGAAGGAAAGAACAAGGAAAGAATGAAAGAAAAAGAAACAAGGAAAGAATAGAAAGGAAAGAAAAGGAAAAATGAAAGAGATGGAAGGAAGAAAGGACAGAAAGAAAGAAAAAGAGAAAGAAGAAAGAGATGAAGGAAAGAAAGAAAGAAAGAAAGAGGAAGAAAGCAAAGAAAAAAGCAGGAAAGAAAGAAAAATGAAAGAGATGGAAAGAAAGAAAGAAAAAGAAAAGAGAAGAAAGAGAAGAAAGAAGGAAAGAAAAAAAAGAATGAGGAAAGGATGGATAAAAGGAAGGAAAAAAGGAAAAAGAAAGGAAAAAAGGAAGCAAGTAGACAAAACAGCAAGAAAAGGAAGAAAGGAAGGAAATAAAGAAAAAAGATGGAAGGAAGGTAGGAAGGAAAGAAAGAAGAGAAAAGGAAGGGAAAAAGGAAAGAAAGAGAAAGAAGAAAGGGAGGAAGGAAGGAAAAATGAAAGAAAGAGGAAGAAAGCAAAGAAAAAAGCAGGAAAGGAAGAAAGGAAGGAAAGAAAGGAAAGAAAAGTGAAAGAGATGGAAAGAAAGAAAAAAGAAAAGAAAGGGAAGAAAAGAAGGAAAGAAAAACAAATGAGAGATGGAAGGAAGAAAGGACAGAAAGAAAGAAAGAAAAAGAAAAAAGAGAAGAAGGAAAGAAAGAAAGAGGAAGAAAGCAAAGAAAAAAGCAGGAAAGGAAGAGAGAAAAATGAAAGAGATGGAAAGAAAGAAGGAAAGAAAGAAAAAGAAAAAAGAATGAGAGAAGGAAAAAAGGAAGAAGAAAGGAAAAAAGGAAGGAAGCAAGCAGAGAAAACAGCAAGACAAGGAAGAAAGGAAGGAAATAAAGAAAAAAGATGAAAGGAAGGTAGGAAGGAAGGAAAGAACTTACCTGTTGGTTGCCTTGCCTTCGTGCTGTGCGGTGCAAAAAAAGAACTACAAACTATACAAATTACCTTCCCTTAAATATTCCACCATTAAAAAAAGACCTCTGCATTTTCAGATCCCACAACTTCAAAGTTACAAAGTTACAAAGTTACAAGAAAGCAGAGAAAAAAGCAGGAAAGAAAGAAAAATGAAAGAGATGGAAGGAAGAAAAGAAAGAAAAAGAAAAGAGATAAGGAAGGAAGGATAAAAGGAAGAAAAGAAAGGAGAAAGAGAAGACAGGAAGGAAAGAAAAATGAAAGATGGAAGTCAACAAAGTCAAACAAACAATTTTTAAGTCAAACAATAAATCAAGGAAATGGCATTAAACACATTTACAAGTTTTCCAAAGATATGTTCACGACAGCCAGGGGAAGGGAAGGAGGGAAGGAAGAAAGGAAAGAAAGAAATAGAAAAAAGGAAAAAGAAGGAAGGAAAGAAAAAGAAAAGAGAAGGAAGGATGTAAGGAACAAAGGAAAGAAAGAAAGAAGAAAGGGAAGAAGGAACCAGAGAAAAAAAGCAAGAAGGAAAGAAAAAGAAAGAAGGAAAGAAGGAAAGAAAAAGAAAAATGAGAGAGATGGAAGTAAGAAAGGACAGAAAGAAAGAAAAAGAAGAAAGGGAAGAAGGAAAGAAAGAGAAAGAAGAAAGGGAGGAAGGAAGGAAAAAAGAAAGATGAAGAAAGCAAAGAAGAAAGGAAGGAAAGAAAGAAAAATGAAAGAGATGGAAGGAAGGAAAGAAAAAGAAAAAGAGAGAAGAAAGGAAGGAAGGAAAGAAAAAGAAAAGAATGAGAGTAGGAAGGATGGATAAAAGGAAGGAAAGAAGGAAAGAAAGAAAAAAGGAAAAAGAAAGGAAGAAGAAAGGAAGCAAGCAGCGAAAACAGCAATAAAAGGAAGAGGAAGAAAATAAAGAAAAAAGATGGAAGGAAGGAAAGAAAAAGGAAAAAGAAAAGAAAGAGAGAAGGAAGGATGGCTAAAAGGAAAGAATGAAAGAAAAAGAAAGAAGGAAAGAAAAGAAAGAAGGAAAGAAAAAGAAAAACGAAAGAGATGGAAGGAAGAAAGGACAGAAAGAAAGAAAGAAAAAGAGAAAGAAGAAAGAGAAGAAGGAAAGAAAGAAAGAAAACAGAGAAAAAAGCAGGAAAGAAAGAAAAATGAAAGAGATGGAAGGAAGGAAAGAAAGAAAAAGAGATAAGGAAGGAAGGATAAAAGGAAGAAAAGAAAGAAAGGAGAAAGAGAAGAAAGGAAGGAAAGAAAAATGAAAAGGAAAAAGAAGGAAGGAAAGAAAAAGAAAAGGAAGGAGGAAAGAAAGAAGAAAGGGAAGGAAACAAAGGAAAAAGGAAAAAGAAAGGAAGGAAGGAACCAGAGGAAAAAAGAAAGAAGAGAAGAAAAGGAAGGAAGGAAAGAAAAATGAAAGATGGAAGGAAGGAAGGTAGGAAGGAAAGAAAGAAAGGAAGGATAAAAGCAAGAAAAAGAAAGAAGGGAAGTAGGAAAGAAAGAAAAATGAAAGAGATGGAAGGAAATAAAGAAAGAAAAAGAAAAGAGATAAGGAAGGATAAAAGGAAGAAAAGAAAGAAAGGAGAAAGGGAAGAAAGGAAGGAAAGAAAGAAAAAAGAAAGGAAGGATAAAAGGAACAAAAGCAAAAAAAGAAAGAAGGGAAGGAAGGAAAAAAGAAAATTGAAAGAGATGGAAGGAAATAAAGAAAAAGAAAAGAGATAAGGAAGGAAGGATAAAAGGAAGAAAAGAAAAAGAGAAAGGGGAGAAAGGAAGGAAAGAAAAATGAAAGATGGAAGAAAGAAAGAAGGAAAGAAAAAAGAGAAGGAAGTATGGATAAAAGGAAAGAAGGAAAAAGAAAGAAGGGAAGAACACAAGGAAGAAAAGAAAGAAAGGGAAGAAATGAAGGAAAGAAAGAAAAAGATGGAAGGAAGGAAGGAAAGAAAAAGAAGGAAAAAGAAAGAAGGAAGGAAGGAAGGATGGCTAAAAGGAAAGAATGAAAGAAAAAGAAAGAAGGAAAGAAGGAAAGAAAAAGAAAAATGAAAGAGATGGAAGGAAGAAAGGACAGAAAGAAAGAAAAAGAGAAAGAAGAAAGAGAAGAAGGAAAGAAAGAAAGAAAGAAAGAAAGCAGAGAAAAAAGCAGGAAAGAAAGAAAAGTGAAAGAGATGGAAGGAAGGAAAGAAAGAAAAAGAAGAGAGATAAGGAAGGAAGGATAAAAGGAAGAAAAGAAAGAAAGGAGAAAGAGAAGACAGGAAGGAAAGAAAAATGAAAGATGGAAGTCAACAAAGTCAAACAAACAATTTTTAAGTCAAACAATAAATCAAGGAAATGGCATTAAACACATTTACAAGTTTTCCAAAGATATGTTCACGACAGCCAGGGGAAGGGAAGGAGGGAAGGAAGAAAGGAAAGAAAGAAAAAGAAAAAAGGAAAAAGAAGGAAGGAAAGAAAGAAAAAGAAAAGGAAGGATGTAAGGAACGAAGGAAAGAAAGAAAGAAGAAAGGGAAGAAGGAAGCAAAGGAAAAAGGAAAAAGAAAGGAAGGAACCAGAGAAAAAAAGCAAGAAGGGAAGAAAAGGAAGGAAAGAAAAATGAAAGACTGAAGGAAGGTAGGAAAAAAAGAAAGAGAAAGAAAGAAAGAAAGGAAGGAAGGAAGGAAGGAAGGAAGGAAGGAAGGAAGACTAAAAGGAACAAAATCAAGAAAAAGAAGAAAGGGAAGTAGGAAAGAAAGAAAAATGAAAGAGATGGAAGGAAGGAAAAGCAAGATAGACAGATAGATAGATAGAAATGGAAGGAAGGAAAAGAAAGAAAAAGAAAAAGGAAAGAAAAAAGAAAGTGAAGGAAGAAAGAAGAAGATAGATGGAGGGAAGGAACGAACGAAAAAAGAAAGGAAAAGAAAGGAAAAAAGGAAAAAAAAGAAGAAAGGAAAAGGGAAAAAGAAAGGAAGGAAGAAAAAAGAGATGGAAGGAAGGAAGGAAAAGAAAGAAAAAAGTGAAGGAAGAAAGAAAAAGAAAAAGATAGATGGAAGGAAGGAAGGAATGAAAAAAGAAAGGAAGAAAAAAGTAAGAGAAGGAAAGAAGGAAAAGAAAGATAAAAAGACAGATATAAAGATAGAAAGAAATGGAAGGAAAAGAAAGAAAAAGAAAGGAAAGAAAAAAGAAAGTGAAGGAAGAAAGAAAAAGAAAAACAGATGGAAGGAAGGAATGAAAAAAGAAAGGAAGAAGGAAAGAAAGGAAAAGGAAGGAAGGAAAAGAGATAAAAAGACAGAGATAGATAGATAGAAATGGAAGGAAGGAAAAGAAAAGGAATGAAAAAAGAAAGTGAACGAAGAAAGAAAAAGAAAAACATAGATGGAAGGAAGGAAAAAAAGGAAGAAAGAGAAGGAAAGAAAGGAAAAGAAAGGGAAAAGAAAGGAAGAAAAAAGAAAGAGAAGGAAGGAAGGAAAAGAGATAAAAAGATAGATAGATAGATAGATAGATAGATAGATAGATAGATAGATAGATAGAAATGGAAGGAAGAAAAAGGAAAGAAAGAAAAAAGTGAATGAAGGAAGGAAAAAGAAAGAAAGAGAAAAGAAATCAGAAAAAGAAATAGATAGATGAAAGGAAGGAACGAAAAGAAAGAAAGGAAAAGAAAAAAGGAAGAAAGAAAGAAAGAAAAAGAAAGGAAAAGAAAGAAAGGAAGAAAAAAGAGATGGAAGGAAGGAAGGAAAAGAAAGATAGATAGAATGAGAGAGAGAAGGAAGGAAGGAAAGAGACTGAGGGAGGAAAAAATAAAAAAGGATAAGGGAGGAAAGAAAAGAAGAAAAAAGAGGAAGGGAGGGAAGGAAGAAAGGAATGAATTAAAGGAGGGAGGAATTCTGGGAGTTGAAATCCACAATTATGAAAGGGCCAAGTTTGAAGACCCCTGTTCTAGGCAGGAAACTATACCAGGGGTCTTCAAACTTGTCCCTTTTATGACTGTGGACTTTAACTCCCAGAATTCCTCAGCCAAGCTCACGTACAAGTACACAAGTCATGCAAGAGCCGAGTTTGAAGACCCCTGCTCTAGGCAGCTTAACTGGAACAGTTCTGGATTGTCCACTAATAAGATTCGTTTCTCTTCCTTCTCATTCTCCAGAGTCTTCACGGCCGGCAATTGTAGCCGATTCCCAATGTTCACTTAACAAGCAAGTAGACATTGTCCTCATCTTTTTGTTTTTTTCTTTTCTTTTCCAGCCTTTTGGGGGAGACAATTATTGTGATCCGGTCAACAACCGAGCCTTTTGCAACTATGACGATGGAGATTGTTGCGTGTCAACAGTGAAGACCAGGAAGGTAAGATGGCCTTCTTGTCATCCTGGGATCAGTCCAAGTGGTGTAATCTTTCAGTTGCGATCGCTGTTTTCCCATTTGCAATTCAAACCCAGGAAACTGTTAACAGGAAGCCTTCCCCTCATCGTCTATAGCCTTTGTGTAGATTCTCCTGTAATAAAGAGAAGAGACAAATTAGAGATTTGAAAAGGCAGGCAAGCCAGCTTTAATTTTTACCTGAAACACACTAGATTTGTTCCAGTATGTCTAGTCCAATAAAGATAAGGACTAGGGGTGACCAAATAGCAGTCTTCTAATATCTCAGGGGCTGCCCCAAAGAAGAGGGAGTCAAGCTGTTCTCCAAAGCAGAACAAGAAGGCAGGACAAGAAGCAACGGATGGAAACTCACCAAGGAGAGAAGCAAACTAGAACTAAGGAGAATTTTTCTGACAGTGAGAACAATTAATCAATGAAACAACCTGCTTCCAGAAGTTTTTAAGGAGACATGGATAACCATTTATCTGACATGTTATAGGACGGGGGTCTTCCAACTTGGCCCTTTGATGACTTGTGGACTTCAACTCCCAGAATTCCTCAGCCCGTGTGCCTGGCTGAGGAATTCTGGGAGTTGAAGTCCACCCATCTTAAAGTTGCCAGCTTTTAAAAAAAAAAGGTTTAGACCAGGGGTCTTCAATCTTGGTCCTTTGATGACTTGTGAACTTCAACTCCCAGAATTCCTCAGCCAGCGTGCCTAGCTGAGGAATTCTGGGAGTTGAAGTCCATAAGTCATCAAAGGGGACCAGCTTGAAGACCTCCAAGGTCCCTTCCAACTCTCTGATTCTGTTAACACTTATCTGGCCCCAGATAAGCACAGAATAACAGAGTTGGAAGGGACCTTGTAGGTCATCTAGTCCAACCCCCACCCACCCAAGCAGGAGACCCTAACCCATTACTGACAAATGGCAGTCTAGTCTCTTCTTGAAAGATTCCAGTGATGAAGCTCCCACAACCTCTGAGGGCAACTTCTGTTCCACGGGTTGACTGTTCTCACCTCATTTCTAGCCTGAATCTCTTGTTCTGTTAGATTCTGTTTCTAACCCACCAAATTAAAGTCCGTGGCTCCGTTGAAAGTATAATGGATCTATCTATCAGTGACTCACTAGCAAAAGGGAAAAAGGAGCACAGGATTTCCCCCCCCCCACTTGTATTTCAACCTCCTCGTGCAATGAGGCCCACCACCTGCCTCCTTTGAACTCCATTTCTGCACTTATCTTACTAAATGCTAGTTTCCCCACCGCCTTTGGAATTTAAAAGCCTAGCTGAGGTTTATGAAGGGCCAACTGTGAAATAAATTAACAAAAACCACTTGGCCAGCACAGCCAATGAATACATTTGGAGAGAGAGAGAAACTATAAAAAAAGTAATCTATATTAAAAAAAACCGCCCCAAACTTTTTGCATTTCAAAGAGAAGCCTGCCCCACCTTTGGCTGCTGAGCTCACTCTTAAGAATTCAGCTGCTGTAACATTTTAAAGCCACAACGTTTTAAAAAAGGATGTGTGGCCCAGCAATTTTTGCCCAGCGTTTAAAAGTACCTGCAGGATTTGGATTTTGTTGAGACTCTGGAAAGTGTCTCAAAGATAATTTGTAAAAAAAAAAAAAAAAAAAAGCAGTTCCAGAGGGCAAAGCCTATCCAGGAATTTACTGATTACTGGTGAAAGAAAACGTACAATTAAAAAAAGTTAAGAATACTCTTTCCTTCATTATCTATGGCACGGGTCTTCAAACCTGGCCCTTTTATGACTTGTGGACTTCAACTCCCAGAATTCCTTGGCTGAGGAATTGTGGGAGTTAAAGACCAGGGGTCTTCAAACTTGGCCCTTTGATAACTTGTGGACTTGTGCCTGGCTGAGGAATTCTGGGAATTGAAGTCCACTCCTCTTAAAGTCTATAGCAGGGGTCTTCCAACTTGGCCATTTTATGACTTGTGGACTTCAACTCCAAGAATTCCTCAGCCAGCATGCCTGGCTGAAGAATTCTGGGTGTTGAAGTCCACAAGTCATAAAATGGGCAAGTTTGAAGACCCCTGGATTGGATAATCCCCCTCCCCTCTCTCTATAAATTTTAAAATTCTTACCCGTATTATCCACGCCTTGAGGGATAATGACATCCGCATATTTCTTGGTTTGCAAGGGAAAAGAAGAAAAGTCACAATTCTCAAAAAACACACAACGACAACAACCCAGCCTAAGCAAGTATCTGTTCAGAAGTGATCTTAGCCAGAAGAAAGGAAACAGGCTTAGATTTCTTCCAACAGGCACTCAATAAGCTTCAACTTCTACCAATAGTCCTGGAGTTACGATTACAAATTAAACAATTCCCACTGTTAAGCAAGGTGCCCCATTTTATGACCCCTTTTTTGCCAAAATTGTTAACCGAATCACTGCAGTTGTGAATGACTCATGTCATCCTTAAGCCAACCCGACTTCTCCCACTGAACTTTGCTGGTGGGAAGCCGGGCTGAAAACAGTCACAATTTTTTTATTTTATTTTGGAAAAAAAAAAAAATCACATAGCCACCTACAGGCTCATAAAGATGCAGAATAATACCCCCCCCCCAATATTTTCCCTCTTTCATATATTCATCAAACAAGGAAAAGCCTCCAGAGACAGAAAAGAGAAGCCATTGAGGGAACTAGCTTAAAAAGGCACATTCCCCTTTAAGAATTGGAGACTGGCTACCAGCTGGCACTTAAGGAAGAAAAAAAAAAACCCGTAAACAAATACTTGCTGCCCGCTAAGGCAGCCTCCCCAAATGGCTCCATTCATAAGTAAAGGAATGCTCCAGGCCAGTGTTTCTCAACCTTGACCATTTTAAGGCATGTGGACTTCAACTCCCAGAATTCCACAGCCAGCAATGCTGGCTGTGGAATTCTGGGAGTTGAAGTCCACATGCCTTAAAATGGTCAAGGTTGAGAAACACTGCTCCAGGCAAAAGCCATTCGGGAGAAAAATACTGCAAAACCCCTTGCAGCAAAACTAACAGCTCACAATAGCAGAGCGACAGAAGCTAACACCACCAGCCCAACAGAAACTGCCAAACACTCCTTAAGCACGCAAAGCCCACCTTGCACAAAGCCCAGAACTTCCGAGTCACAAAAGCACGTAAGAATCCTTCCACTCTCCATCTCCCTCCCCAGGTCCTTACCTCCTGTTGATGCTGCCTTTCTTGCCTGTTGCTTGCTGCCGCGGGCACGGATGTCAGCAGTTGTAGAGCGGCTCAAAGGCTGCCGGCATGCATCCTTGCTTGCTGCCTTCCTTGCTTCCTTGCCTGACCATGTTCCAAAGGCTGCAGCTGTCTCCGCACCTCCTCCTCCTTTCTCTTCCGGGTCAACCGGAAGTGAGCCGGGCGTCTTTGCCTCATTCTGCCGCTCTGGGCGGCTCTCTTACCAACAAGTTCTTGCCTGTGCTGGCTCGTTCCCTCCGCCGCTATGCTTGGCTGAGCGGGGCTGCGGGACTACCTGCCACGGGCTAATGCATGCCACCGGTTAATCGTAACAGAGCGACGGGGCTGCAGAACAGGCACGGAAGCAGGAAACCCGTTTCCCAAAGCCTTAAACCGAGTTAAAAAAGCCGATGATGGCTTCGGTGCTAATGGCACGGGACATTTAACATCGCCCTCCTGTGGTCAAGGCAGGAATAGCAGCCCCACGAGGAAATAAACGTTACCCCAAAGAGGTTTGCGAAAAAGCCAGGGTTTCCCAAGATAGGACAGGCTGTGTGGATCGAAGTCATCGGAATGCAAATTTTCTTAACTAGCACATGTGCAAAGAGCCTTTTTGCCTACATCTGTGCCTGTTCTGCAGCCCTTGGGCCTCCCGTTGTTCTATTAATAACAAATAACGGGGCTTCTCATAATAAAGATGCAGAATAATAACCTTAAAATCCCACTGAATGCAGCCTTACGTTAGCCTTACTCTTTTCTAACCCCCAAAGTGGGCCAAAAGTCTGGCCCTAATATTTCCTTAGCCCAAAGAGGGCAAAAAAGTCAGCCTTTCCCAAGATAGGACAGGCTAGGTTGGTCAGTTTGGGGGCAAAGTCATCAGAATGCAGCCTTACGTCGACCTTACTCTTTTCTAACTAGAAAATTTGCAAAGAGCCTTTTTCCCTGGCAGCGTGCCAGGGTGACGTAATGCTGGACTATAACCATAACATCTGGACAAAGAGGAAGATTGATAGAAATTAGATAGTTATAAAGTTGTGTGCAGGATTAAGACATTGGTGATTAGTAAGAAGGCCTTATTTGTTGTTGATGATGTTACCTAGTTGGGTCATGAAGTGTCTGCAAGAAGACAACCAAGCTCAGAGAGCACCAAGGACTCCACAGTCCTCCTCCTCCTCCCTTTCTCCTCTTTCCTTTCTCCTCCTCTTCCTCTTCCTCCTCCGCTCTAGTACTGATATTATCTAGTTGGGTCATGAAACATCTACAAGAAGACCACTAAACTCAGACAGCACCAAGGACCCCATAAGGTTATCTTTCCGTCTCATAGATGGAACTACTCAAAATTTGGTGGCATCGGAGGTCACCCCTGGCCTCCAGAACTCTACTTTGAAGTTCTTCCACCCACTGACCCTTCCAAGCTCAACAGAGGTGGCCCAATAGATACCTGGATGGTCAAAGTTATATTGTCCCTTTAAAGCTCTGGCTTTCTGTTCTGGGGTGAGGACCTTGTAGAATCGATCTTGGCTGAGAATGACGACTTTGCGTTGATGATGATCCACCTCATTTTGACCCAGCAGTTCCATGATCTTCTCACAGACTGTTGACTTTGGAGGAAGGGACAGACAGAACGGGCAAACCCACCAAGGAGGAAAGTTAGCAAAGCCAGAGGTACAGGTAATAATATTAATAATAAATTATTATTATTATTATTATTATTTTACAGTCACAGACCAAAATGCAAGTGCAACAAAAGAAAACACAAGAAAAATACAATCACAAACAGTACAGGTACAGGTTCAAACTCCACCTCCCAATGACCCACACCTGATGTAACTAAGGACCCATCTCCTCCTCTCCACAATCCCCACTCCCTACTAACACTGATGATGTTCCCTAGTTGGGTCATGAAACATCTGCAAGAAAACAATCCCACTCTTGAGCTATTGTATATAAACAGGGAGCAAGCCACACTCACAAGGACTGATGATGTTCCCTAGTTGGGCCATGAAATGTCTGCAAGAAAACCACCCAGCTCAGAGAGAACTGAGGACCACCTCCTCCTCCTCCTCCTCCCTTCAAACCCCCCTCCCTTCTAGCACTGATGATGTTACCTAGTTGGGCAGTGAAACATCTGCAAGAAAACCAGCCAGCTCAGAGAGCATCAAGGACCCCTCAGTTCAACTCTGAGCTACACAGAAAGAAAGGAAAAGCAAGAAAGAGACAGAGATAAGAAAGAAAGAAAGAAAAAGGAAAGAAAGAAAGAAAGAGGGAGAAAGAAAGAAAGAAAGAAAGAGAAAGAAAGAGAAAGAAGAAAGCAAGTAAAGAAAAAAGAGGAAGGAAGGAAGGAAGGAAGGAAGGAAGGAAGGAAGGAAGGAAGGAAGGAAGGAAGGAAGGACGGGGAGGGAAGGAAGGAGGGAGGAAGAAAATAAAGAAAAAGCAAGGAAAGAAAGAAGAGGGGAAAGGAAGGAAGGATAAAAGAAAGAGACAGAGAAAGAAAGAGGGAGGGAGGAAGGAAAGGAAAAGCAAGAAAGAGAGAGAGATAAGAAAGAAAGAGAAAAAGGAAGGAAAGAAAGAAAGAAAGAAAGAAAGAAAGAAAGAAAGAAAGAAAGAAAGAAAGAAAGAAAGAGGGGGGGGGAGTTTAGTTTCCATCCGTTGCTTCTTCTCCGGCCTTCAGCTTCTTTGGAGAATAGCTTGACTCCCTCTTCTTTGGGGCAGCCCCTCAGATATTGGAAGACTGCTATCATGTCCCCCCCTCGTCCTTCTCTTCATTAAACTAGACATACCCAATTCCAGCAGCCGTTCCTTATATGTTTTAGCCTCCAGTCCTCTGATCCTCTTTGTTGCTCTTCTCTGCACCCTTTCTGGAGTCTCAACATCTTTTTTTAACATCACAGTGACCAAAATTGGATGCAGGATTCCTAATGTGGCATTAAGTGTTATTAGCATTTCATGTAACCTTGATTCTATCCCTCTAATGTTAATGCATCCTGGGACTTCAAGGCAGCTTTTTCAGTCTAAACTATACAACCGAAATTGCGACCTGATTTTGATGAGACAACGTCCTCTAAAAATTTCCTTCAGGCTACGCCATGAAATGTGGAAGAAATTGGAGAAACAGCGGAGAAGAATACCAAATGTATCATCACACCTAAGAGGAAGCTGCAATATTGTACGTCCTGCGAAATAAAGTTAAACCTGATTTTTTTCATTATAAATCCCACCTCTAAAAAAAACATTTATGGCGTCTTCGATCCGGTCCATGAGTTCCACCATTTCTAGTCAAGCTTTCAGGGCAAACTATGTTAATGCATCCCATTTTTTATTATAGCCTCTTTTTTTAAAAAAAAAGATATTTAATTTTAGCTGGGCTAGGGTTTTGTGTTTCTCACAACATATTTTCAATAACTGGAACTTGTTTAAACCCCCAACGCTCCAGGAAAACGCATTATGACCTGACTTAAATTTTGCCCAGCTCTCATTTATTGATATTAATAATACATTGGCAACATCGGTCTTTTCATTTTATTTTTTTCATTCTCGCATGGGGGAGAAGGACAAAAATGGCAACTTGTTTGTGTTCCTCTCTCTTTAAATGTAACCATCAGCATCTTACATAAAGACTAATATGGCTTTAATTGCTGGCAAGGATAATTTGTTATATGAAGAGGGAGTGGATGTAATCAATAAAAGGATTTCTCAGTTGCAACGAAGCTGGGAGTATCCGGGAGGAAGGGCTGCCTTTTCTTCCCATTTATTTATTTATTTTTGCAAATAGGGAGGAAAATGGCCCAAATTAGTTTTCCATTTAAATATATTGCCATCTCTAATTAATAAACACCATTAGCAGACGAGAGCTTCGGATGACAGCAAAAGCAATTATTTGCATAAATGAAAATGCAGACCCTTTTTTTTTTAATGGCTGAATATTTAAGCCCAGCTAATTTGTATAATTTGTAGTGCTTTTTTTCCATATCTGTATCTGTATCTACATCTATCTAGCTCTAGCTCTGTCTGTCTGTCTATCCATATCTATCTATCTATCTATCTATCTATCTATCTATCTATCTATCTATCTATCTATATCTATCTATCTATCTCTATCTATCTCTATCTATCTCTATCTCATCTATAGATAGAGATAGATAGATAGATAGATAGATAGATAGATAGATAGATAGATAGATAGATAGATAGATAGATAGACAGACTCCTGAGATCTGCCAGCTCAGCTAACTGTTCACGATACCTCCCGTGCATGGTGTACATATTGCAATCAGAATGAGAAAGTTGGAAGGGACCTTGGAGGTCTTCTAGTCCAACCCCCTGCACAAGCATTTTATAGCATTTCAGACAAATGGCTGTCCAGTCTCTTCTTAAAAACTTCCAGTGTTGGAGCATTCACCGCTTCTGGAGGCAGGTTGTTCCACTGGTTAATTGTTCTCACTGACAGGAAATTTCTCCTTAGTTCTAGGTTGCTTCTCTCCTCGATTAGTTTCCATCCGTTGCTTTTTGTCCGGCCTTCAGATGCTTTGGAGGATAGCTTGACCCCCTTCTCTTTGTGGTAGCCCCTGAGATATTGAAAGACTGCTATCAAGTCACCCCTGGTCCTTCTTTTCATTAAACTAGACATACCCAACTCCTGAAGCTGTTCTGCAAATGTTTTAGCCTCCAACCCCATAATCATCTTTGTTGCTCTTCTCTCCTCCTCCTCCTCTTCCAGAATCATTGCAGCTTCCAGAATCATTGCAGCAGAGAAAAAGAGAAAGAGGGGGGAGCGAGAGAAAGAGGGAAGGAGAGAGAGAGGGAGAGAAAGACAGAATGAAAGAGAGAGAAAGAGGGAGAAAGAGAGATAGAGGGAGAAAGAGAGAGGGGGAGGGAAAAAGAGAAAGAGAGAGGGGGAGGGAAAAAGAGAAAGAGAGGGGGGAGAGAGAGAGCAAGTGACAGAGAAAAAGAGAAAGGAGGAGCAAGAGAAAGAGGGAAGGAGAGAGAGAAAGAGAGTGAAAGAGAGAAAGAGGGAGAAAGAGAGAGAGGGAGAAAGAGGGGGAGAGAAAGAGAGCAAGTGACAGAGAAAAAGAGAAAGAGGGGAGCAAGAGAAAGGGAAGGAGAGAGAAAGAGAGGGAGAAAGAGAAAGAGAGATAGAGGGAGAGAGAGGGGGAGGGAAAAAGAGTAAGAGAGAGGGGGTCA